AAATTAAGTAAGAAAGAACATGGTAAGTACATGTAACACTGTTGTTTTTCTTATTCCATGGGTATATACCATGGGTATATACCAAGGGAAAGGTTTACATAAAAACATTAAGTCAAAATATTCAAAAGCCATGTCACTCTGTTAAGAGAGTCAAAAATGCAAATGAAAAAAACATGCAAAATATTTTTAAAATATTATGTAAAGGCTTATATTTGCAAGCTTAAAAACACTCCATTTATGAATCCATTTGTGCACAGAAATTGTATACATGCAACAGAGACTTGGGCCAGAATGGACATTGTGGAATTAGTTTAAAAAATAAGTTTTACAGCTTTTCCAAAAATCTTTAATGAAAAGTCAGATAAAAGATAATGAGAAAGGACAAAACAGATGCTGGTTTCTGCTGAAATTTGCCAAACTTTTACAGCATCATTATAACAGCTTTCCATTTAGGTCGCCACAGTTTAAAAGTGGGACATTTGGATCTAGAAGAGAGCAGTGATGATTAAAGGGTTGGAAACCCAGGCTTATGAGGAAAGGATCATGGAAAAGAAGGCTTGTGGGTGCCTTAATTACAGTCTCAGTGTATATAATATACCATATTAATGAACAGATGTTGTTCCCCAATGAAAATAGAACAAGATGGGAGAACTGTGGCTCTAACTTGAGAAACATCTTGGTTGAATAGTAACCAGTATCTACTCATTTCCTCTCTTTTGTCTACCATGTTAAGTCCTAAAGATTGATAATTCACATATAGACATATTGAGTAGAATATGCTCTATAATCATATTGCAGGAAACTTGGTGACCTTTATGTATTAGAGCATGGGAAAAACAGAAAACTAGGTGGAGACAGTGGCATATTTTACATTCCCACTTCTATTGCATAAGGATGCATGAGTATCCTGAGACCAACAGAGAAGATAGCTAGGTGGGAGTCTGCTTGTTGATACTCCAACCAAGAGGACTGCCTGGGGGAAAAGTAAAAAGATAACACTAGGAGCGGAGAGAGGGTTTAAGTTTGGTAGGAAGGGAAGCAGAATGGATCTTCCAGCTCAAGGAATTATGCAGTGAGCAGGCTTTCCTTGCAGGCCCACCTAGCTCCCCAAGGGAGGACACTCTATTTTAAAGCCACCAATAACCAGTTTTGGATTACCACAATAGACAATTACCACCAAGAGATAAGGAGGAACACAGAAGTCCAAATATATATATACATATATGTTTAAACTGTCTTTCCTATAAATAGCACTTCACTTCTGATACCACAGTGTAGGGTTTATTTCCCATAGCAACCAATTCTCTAGTTCCTAGCAGACCACCAACTGGGTATCCTAAAACGCGAAACACTATCATCTACCAGGAATTAGATCCCACAAGATTGTCCACACTTCACATGCCAGTGACAAGTCCTGGCTTCCTGTACTTCTGACTGACCAGCTATACACTAGGAATTTCCATAATTCCCGTCTCAGTTTCAGTAAGTTGCTAGAATACCTTAAGGAGATATTTACTCATATTTACCAGTCTATTAAAAATAGTATTTTGTTAAGAATATTTACATCTGTGTTCATCAGGGATATTGGTCTGTAGTTTCCTGGTTTTGGTATTAGGATAAAATGGGCTTCATAGAATGATCTAGGGAGGATTCCCTTTTTATCTTTTGGAATAACGTCAATACGGTTTTACCAATTCTTCTTTGAATGCCTGTTAAAATTTAGTTGAGAATGCGTCTGTTGGCAGTTTTTAAATTACCATTTCAGTCTTGGTGCTTGGTCTGTTCAGAGTTTCTATTTCTTTCTGGTTTAATCTAGGAGAGTTGTATATTTCTGGGAATTTAACCATTCTACTCTAGGTGTTCATAGTATCCTTGAATGATCTTTTGTATTTCTGTGGTATCAGTGTATCTCCCATTTCTAATTGAGCTTATTTGGAACTTCTCTCTTTTCTTGACTAATCTCAGTAATCGTCTATGTTTTTAAAGAACAAGTTTTTTCATTCATTCAGTTTTATTCTGATCTTTGTTATTTCTTCTGCTGAGCTTGGGTTTGTTCTTGTTTCTCTAGTTCCTTGAGGTGAGGCCTTAGATTGTCTGTTTGTGCTCCATATTGCCTATGATGTATCCCAGAGTTTTCAATAATTTGTGCCACCATTATCTTTCAATTCAAAGAATTTTTTAATTTCCACATATTTGCATGGTTTTTAGGGTTCCTTTTAGAGTTGATTTCCAATTTTATTCCACTGTGGTCATCCTCAAAAAAAGACCCAACAGCATACCAAAAAGGTAATCCACCATGATGAAGTAGGTTTCAGACCAGGGATGGTTTGACATATGCCACTCAAAAAATGTGATACACCACATAAATAGAAATCAAAACAAATCACATGATCATCTCAATAGATAGAGAAAAAGCATTTGACACAATCTAGCATCCCTTTACACTGAACAGGTAAGGTTGAAAGTATTCCACCTGAGAACTGGAACAAGACAAGAATGCCCACTCTCACTACTTCCATTCAACATAATACTAGAAGTCCTAGCCACAGCACTTAGACAAGAGAAAGAAATTAAGGACATCCAAATCACTAGAGGAAGTCAAACTAGCACTGTTTGCTGACGATATGATCATATACCTAGAAAACCCTAAAGACCCCTCCAAAAAGCTCCCAGAACTGATAATGAATTCAGTAAAGTTTCTGGATACAAAATCAATGTACACAATAGCTGCAAAACAAAATACTTAAGAATACACCTAAGCAAAAAGGTGAAAGACCTCTACAGGGAAAACTACAAAACACTACTGAAAGAAATCACAGATGACACAAACAAATGAAAACACATCCCATGCTCATGGATGAATACAATCAGTATTGTGAAAGTGATCACACTGCCAAAAGCAATCTACAAATTTCATGCAATTCTCATCAAACTACTGCCATCATTCTTCACTGAACTAGAAAAAACAATCCTAAAATTCATATGGAACCAAACAAAAGCCCACACAAAGTCAAGAGCAAATCTGAAGGTACCACATTACCTGACTTCAAACTATAAGGCTATAATCACCAAAACAACATGATACTCGTACAGAAATAGGAACATAGACCCATGGAACAGAATAGAGAACCCAGAAATAAAGTTAAATACTTACAGCCAACTGATCTTTCAAAAAGCAACACAAAAACAAAGCGGGAAAAGGATACCGTATTCAACAAATAGTTCTGAGATCATTGGCAATCCACATGCAGAAGTATGAAACCGGATCCTTATCTTTCACCTTATACAAAACTCAAGATGGATCAAAGACTTAAATATAAGACCTGAAACCATAAAGATTCTAGAAGATAACATGGAAAAAACCCTTCTAGGCATTGTTTTAGGCAAACACTTCAAGAGCAAGAACCCAAAAGCAAATGCAACAGGAACAAAAATAAATGGGACTTAAAAGCCTTCTGCATGGCAAAATAATAATAATAATGAATCAGCAGCGTTAACAGACAACCTACAGAGTGGGAGAAAATCTTCACAAGCTTTACATCTAAAAAAGGACTAATATCCAGAATCTACAAGGAATTCAAATCAGGAAAAAAAAAAATCCCATCAAAAAGTGGGCTAAGGACATGGATAGGCAATTCTCAAAAGAAGATGTACAGATGGCCAACAAATATATGGAAAAATGTTCAACATCACTGATTATCAGGGAAATGCAAATCAAAACCACAACATAGTATCACCTTACTCCTGCAAGAATGGACATAATAAAAAAAAATAGATGTTGGCATGGATATGGTAAAAAGGAACACCTTTACACTGTTGTTGAGAATTTAAACTAGCACAGCCACTATGGAAAACAGTGTGGAGATTCCTTAAAGAACTAAAAGTAGCTCTACCATTTGATCCAGCAATCTCACTCCTGGGTATCTACCCAGAGGAAAGATGTCATTATTTATTGCGTGTATACAACTCTCTTTTTTAAAGATAATATTCATGTTAAAAATGAACATTTGATCATATTTAAAATGTTTCATGGTTAAAAATGAAAAACCGGGGGGGGGGGGTTCTATTCCTTTTTTAAAGATATTTGGATATGCATGTTTATAGCAGCATAATTTGCAATTGTGAAAACACAGAACCAGCCCAAATGCCCATCAATCAACAAGTGAATACAGAAAATGTACATATATATGATGGAATACTAATCAGTCATAAAAAGGAACTAATTTTAAGGTGGATCTTTGTCACAGTTCAAATTCAGTGTTCAATGACATACTATCTAAATGTACAATAATCTATCTAGTCTCCTAAATGGGACCAGAAGAAAAGAAGAGTGAGCCAGTTAAAAGGGGGCTAAGATCCTCCAAGAACTGAGTTTGTGTTCCAGCTCTGTCACTTAGTATTTGATGGGCAATTTATCAATGGGAAATTTACATAATCTATTTTAAATCATGGGTAGTGAGGGAATAAGCATTAGGCATCAACAGCATCTATTACAGAAGTTACTCAATATCTTGCCTGAAATCCTTTGAATATAGGTAGGCGTCTAAATAGTCCACTTAAACTCCAATTCTTTTGGAAAATGATTATCAGATTTTAAGTCCATCAAAATTCCATTCAGCACTGAATACATATAAAGTATACTGTGACTTATGAATATATGCAAAAATTTGTATTCAAAATGTAAGAGAAAATACTCATTTTTAACATGTTAAAACCAATGGGGGTCTATTCCATGGATGAGTTAGAAATTTAATACAAATGTGAATTTATAATTTACTCTTAGAAATCATTCTCTACAAGGCAGCTGGAGCTCTCTTTCTGTCTCAGGTGTTGAGCCTAAAAGTTTCCAAGTTTTGGGACAGTATTAGGTTCACACCCATGGAGGGGTATATGCTGTTTGCAGCTATTTTTGATGCCTTCCTCTCAAAATCAAATTCAAGATAGAGGCACAGAGACCGAGAAGCTTAGGATGAGACAGACAGTTTGTGACTGGCACATACTTGCCTGGGGCCCAAGTCACCAGAAGCCAAAGCCTCCTCAGGAAACAATCTGTGTTGTCAAATGGCCACCCTCCAGTCAACGGGGCCTGTTGAGTCAAATACACATCAATTTTACAATTTATAAAGCACCACAAAGTTCTGTTACAGATACTGACTCCTTTAGTCTCAAGATATGCAGGATGTAAATTATTATGTCCCTGATACTGGTATGGAAACCATAATTTAAAACAGATTACATAAATTGCCCATAGATAATCAAATAGTAAGTGATAGAGCTGGAACACAAACTCCGTTGTTGGAGGATCTTATCCCCCTTTTTACCAGTTTACTCTTTTCTTCTGGCCTCATTTAGGAGACCAGATAGATCATTGTACATTTAGGCAATAAGTCATTGAACACTGAATTTGAACTGTGACGTAGATCAACCTTAACATTAAGCTAAGGCAAAATTGAAAAATACCCACTTTTTATTAGAAAAATGATTTGATAATTTCTTTTCTAAACCTGAGTGTTCAACTTACTTTTCCCTATATGCCTAGGGTCCTCAATCAAATAAAACTGGAATGACATTTCCTAAGTGTTTTGTTATCTGATGCTGCATAAAAAATTACCCCCAAACTTAGAGGCTTAAAATCGTCATAATCATCTCACAGTTACTCTGGGTTAAGATGCCAGTAGTTTGAAGTAGTTTGACTGGGTGATTGTGACTCGGGGTAGATATCTCTTGAGGTTGCAGTTAAGCTGCCATCCAGGCAACAGTCACATGGGGCTAGAAGACCCGCTGTCAGGATCATTCATGCTATTGATGGGAGGCCTGTTTCTTGCTGGCCTATGTCTGCCCATCTCCGTTCCTAACAATGCACTGCTTGAGTGTTCTCACGACATGGTCGCTGGCTTGTGCTGAGCAAGAAATCTGAGAAAGAGCAGTCCAAGTGTTGCTAGCTAGCATTCTTTTACAACCTCATCTCAGAAGTGACATGCCATCACTTTGGCCACATTCTTTGATCCCACAGACCAACACTGGTATGATGTAGGAGAGGACTTCACAAGGGTGTGAATTCTAGGAAGTGGGGATCATTGGGAGTGCCTTGGAGGCTGGCTATCACACTAAGAAGCATACAAATGTAGGGGCATTTTGTTCCCTCTGTTGCTCCTTAGAGGCAGAACAGGGGATATGGAAAGGGGATTTTTTTTTTTCCCTGTGTATACGAACACAATTCAATTTACCTACTATTATCTTTATTAGACTGAGCTCAAAACAGATACTAACATAGAATTGATAAGACATTAAGATTCCTCTCTATACTCAAAGAGCTCAATCTAAAAAAAGCAAATATACCAAAATACGTAAATCAAGAGAAGTTCAGTAAAAACTCAAAAAGTATAAGGGGGTTCATATAATGATGGTAAGCTGCTGTTTACCTGCAGAAGAATAAGACACAATACCTAGAAGAAGTGGTATTTGGTATGAGCCCTTTGAAATAAGTAGAATTTCAGAGGAATTTCAGGAATGTGAGGGCAAAGAGAAATCAAGAGAAAGGAGATAAAAGACTCCAAGGAGGGAAACTTACCAAGAATCTTTGAATCAGAAATTCTGGTAATCACAGCTTCACAATTATGGAAGTCCAGCAGGGAAAACAAGTTGCATGTAGTTTGATGTTAAAGTAGCTATTTGCAAAGCCTCTGATAGGAACGTACCCAAAAAGAAGAAAAGGATGTCAGATTCAACTTCCTGCTTCAGTTTCTCCAATGGCTTCCCACTGTCGTCAATAAGTTAATGTAAAGTCCTTAGCATTGTCTTTAAGACCGTCAGTCTGGCCTGTACCTTGGGAGCCTTATTTCTAAACCCCATCCTGCCTCCCGGGCCCCGATGATGCTCCAGCCTCCCCATCTCCTTATCGTCTCAGGACACACCAGGGTGGGTCCCAGGTACACAGGCATACTTTCTCACCCATTCTGTTTATTCTGCATGGAATAGCCTGCACATCTCTTCTTCACACCACTTTCTCCTTACCTTTCCACATTCAAAGGTCACTTGGTCTAGAAAGATTTTTCTGACTCTCCTCTGGGTCCATCCTCATCCCAGCTGTAATACCATTGCTATAAATGCATTCACATCTGGCGTAGCATATACTCTACATAACTGATTCTAAAAGGAATATTTAATTCCTACAACTGAAGGCATGATATAGTTTGACATATTTTTTCCTTGAAAAAGTAAGAGATAAAATAAATCAGTGGTGCCTTAAACTTGACGGAATTCACTCCTTTGCATATTTATTTCTTCCTTGAGACTAAAAACACCTTGTGATATGGAATCATTTATTTTATATCCCCATTGCCTGTCACATTGCCCTGTATAATAAGCTCCCCATGAATGTAAGAGGCTTTTCCTTAAATAGCTAAAGGAAACATCACTGCTTTCTATCTAGTTCCAGGAAGAGTGACCCTGATTATCCATGCCATTTCATTTAAAAGGGTCAGCAGAAGGTGAATCAAAATTCTATGATCTGTTGACCTTGTTGCATCATTTGACCTAAAAACTATGTCATGTATCTCCAAACCGTCCTGGAATAAAAAATCCCAAATCTCTTGGCAGGACACCATCATTTTCAACAATGGACTTAGAACTATAAATATATACAATTGATAAAATGCCCAATCAATGAAGTCAGGCCTAAAGTCTAAGCTTTAATGTTTATTAGCATGTAACCTTTGATGGTTAACCATTTTGAACCTTAGTTTTATCTTCTGTACAATGAGGGTAATACAGCTCACCTCTCAGGGTAGTTGTGATACGGCTGAAATGACTGGAGGAGCACCAGGGTCCTTAGTCTCCTGCTGATTTAGATAAAATGACATGGACACACGTGGAGTGGTTTTAAGGAGCAGAATGTTTAACAAGCAAGAAAGAAGCTTCCCCATACGGAGACAAGAGGGAGGGAGGCTCCAAGACAGAAACCCTGTGTGTGACAGAAAAATGGTCGGTTATACTGGAGACTGGGGGAGGTGGTGTCTGATTTGCACAGGGCCCAGGGGATTAGCTTGACCAGGTGTGTCATTCATATAGCCCACAAAAAACCTGGTCCTCCCACCTTAGTCTTTTAATATGCAAATGAGAGCTGCCATGATGTCCTGAACACAGGGAGTTATCTGGAGGTAGCCAAGACACTTGGCACTCATGGTGACAAGAAGGCGGGAATCGCCATATTGGCAGACCCAGTTTCTAATGGCATGCATTTGCCTATCAAAGCTTGCCAGGCTCGCCCTTCAGGCTGCCTTTCTGTTAGAAAAGAAATGGTTTGGGGGTTGCTTCTTATTACAGGAAAATTACCACCGAGAACTTTTACCCTTTCTAGCTGCCTAAAAATTATTTAATAACTCCTGTATTTGTTGTTTTATATTTGTTAATGGACTTGATTCTTACAGCTAAGGTGGGGCCGAGGTATAGGAAGATATCCAGTTAATTTTAAACCATCACTGTGTCTCCATCACCTGGCACGTAACAGAATGAACCACAATCATAATAAGAGTCCACAGGATCAGGTGAGCAATGTGGGCTTAGAAATCCATTCCAACATCATATTAATTGGGCATTGAGGTAACTGCCCAAATTAATGATGTTAAAATGCAGTGGACAGCAATCCTTGTGGAGGATTTATTCTGCTTTGAATTTGTCTTTCTCTTCATGTATGATTCAGTCATCTGAAGTTTGGATCTAGTTTGACCTATTGTTTTTGTATTGACCACAAGATTCTTACCACAAAAACATGGAATTTAGGACAATTTGACCATATCTTTTTCCTCATTTGATTTTGGGGACCAGACTGTTGCTTTGCTTCCAGGCATTATAATTTGACATGTACTCTACAAAAATCTTTAGCCCCCATTAACTCTTAGTAAGGCTATTTTATTCCTTCTAAAACTTTCTCATAGGTTTCACAACTTTCCTTTGAACATTCTCCAAAAACTCTAAATCCTTAAGTTTGCTTAACTATATTTCTCTTTCTCTTCTATTGTGCATTTCTCTATTTTGAGACGTCTTTGAGAAAGCAGGAAGTCCCTCTACCAACTGATGAATACTAGGATAGGCATAGGTGATGAAGGCCTTCTACAGGTCATTTAGAACTAGGGGAACAGGGCAGTAGGTAGAGCAGAAAAGAAAGGAAGTCAGAAACAGATAAGACACGTCCAAGAACTGGGGGAAAGAAGAGCAACAATTCTGATTTATTGCCATGCAAAGACGGAGAGATTAAGATAGGAGGGGATGTTTTAGAGGGCTTCCATATCCAGAGGATGAAGGGAGAGGATAAAGGTTCAGTTTACACAAAGAAGTTTAAAAGCCAGATGCAAAGTCCAAATCTTCATCATATACTGATAAGCTCTACCACATTAGTTGGAAAGAAGGTTCTAGACGTCAACATGAGAAGAGGTGAAAAACCCCTTTGATCTTTCATAATCTAGAAACAGAATCCCAGAACAATAAAACAGACAACTAATCCTATTATTTTCTGACCTTTTGGCTCCTTTGGATCATTTTATAAACTTAGCTACTCTGTGGGGGCCTAATCCTTGTCCTAACAGTCCATGTGGTTGAATGGCTGCCTGATCCAAACGCTTTGATCACCCGGGAGTCTTTTCTACCCTTTTTATAGACACAACTTTCAAAAATACTTTCTCCAAAAGCAGTGTGGTTTGATAAACAGGTTTAACTGCCATAATCACCAGGCATTTGAGTGCAGATTAATTCATAGACCCAGATAATAGATCTTGTTCTGTCACGTTGTTTTTAGCCAAAAGTTGAAAGCTTTGAAGAACGTGGAGAAACTATGAAATTTTAATAGCCTTGGGGTACAGAAACTTAAAGAAATAAACCTCATTCATTCAAAGACTATTCATGGCTTTGGCGGAAAGATTGTTGCCAAATTCTGTGATTAATGACAGTTGTTGAAGAAAGCTAGGAGAAAAAAGGCACCAAATGTTCTTGAATTAATCAAAGACAGCAATTTGAGTAAATTGTCCTAGAGTCCACAGTAAGTACTTGGTCAAATGAACCTCACTGTTACTTTGAATTGTCAGATTTCACCTTCATCCTGAAAAACAAAACAAAACAAAAATGCCTGACTCAACATTACTGATTTGACAGAGAAGGTATCCGTTATTTTCCTATAAAAGGAACTCAAAATCTGAGGGTTGTGATATTTAGGTATTCTTGCCTGAGGAAGGTCATTTCACAGTAACCTCCTGAAAAAATAAGGACTATATTTATTATGATTAGTAACTCATTCATAAAAAGGATAATGATATGGTTTGCCTGTGTGTCCCCACCTGATATGGTTTGCCTGTGTGTCCCCACCCAAATCTCATCTTGTTGCTCCCATAATTCCCATGTGTTGTAGGAGAGACTCGGTGGGAGATAACTGAATCTTGGCAGCGAGTCTTTTCTGTGCTATTCTCCTGATAGTGAATAAGTCTCACGATATCTGATGGTTTTAAAAATGGAAGTCTCCGGCACGAGCGCTCTCTTTGCTTCCTGTTGCCATCCACGAAAGATGTGACTTGCTCCTCCTTACCTTCTGCCATGATCATGAGGCCTCCCCAGCCATGTGAAACTGTAAGTCCAAAAAATCTATCTTTTGTAAATTGCCCAGTCTCAGGTATGCCTTAGTCAGAAACATGACGACAGACTAATACGGATAACATGACAAAAACAGGAATGAAATGAAAGACTCATATGAACTATTACACTAAAATAACATCATCAACTTTCTGTAATCTAGACAAAGCCCGCCCACGATGGGCCAATTCTGTCAGAGATAAGGCTGATGGGAAGGTTCAGAAATAATTGGACCTTTTCCTCTTCACATTTCTTTGGAATCTTTTGGAGAATACAAAAATAAATTCTTTATTAAAAAGGGTGGGGTTCTCAAGCCCTGGACCAGTACCTGTCCATGGCCTGTTAGGAACAGGGTTGCACAGCAGGAGGTGAGTGGCAGGCAAGCCAGCATTACTGCCAGAGCTCCATCTATTATCAGTTCCGTGGCCGCATTACATTCTCATAAGAGCCCAAACCCTATTGTGAACTCTGCATGCAAGAAATCTAGGTTGCGCACTTCTTATGAGAACCTAATGCAATCCCCAACCCACCCTGGTCTGGAAAAAATTATCTTCCATGAAACCACTCCCTGGTACCAAAAAGGTTGGGAACCACTGTTATAATTCTTCAATAGGTAACTTGAATTCAACATCTTGTGGTTAGAGCTTGCTGTATGGCAGAGGAAAAGGATGGATGGATGGATAGATAGATCAGATTTTAGAGCTTTGATTAAATACCAACTTCATAGAATTTGATTTCTGAGCTTGAGCTTGCACCATTCTTAAAATCGTCACCTCTACTTACATGCTAGTTTTTAAATTTATATTTTATCACTTCATCTTTAATACAATATATATATATATTAGTTATTTTTCAATGTGGATTTTATGTGGTAAGTATTCAGATGTAAGAATGTTATCTGTATCTCAAGTAGCTTGTTTTTCCTGACTGAACATTTATGAATCCTATCTATGTTAATTCTATTTTAAGCTTACTAGATCCATGCTGTGACTAGAAAATAGCTGTGTTAATATAAAACTCCTCCCATTTAAAAGTAAATGGATAACATTTTTAAAAAA